GTCAAAGTGGGGGCGGGGGTTTTTTATCCGATTTTTTTGCGGTGGGCCTGGCCCCTTTGCCGGCCCCCGGGAACCCGGGGCCCAAATTTTAAAGGGGGCGGGGCCCAACCTCTGGGGCCCGGTCCTCCCCCTAAGGCTTTTCCCGACCGGGAGAGGTGAAGGGGGCCGGTTCTTTGGGGCCCCGGGGGCGGGAAAAACCTGAAGCTGGGGCCCTTGCCCCCCAAAAGAAAAAAGGCGGAAAAGGGGGAAGGGGTCAATTGGGGACCCCGGGGCCTTGGCCCCCTTTTTGGGGCGGCCCCTGCCCGGGCCCCCCCCGGGGTCCCACCCTTCCGCAGTTGGGGGGGCCTTTTCCCCCGGGGAAACCCTGGTGATGGACCCTTCCCCCGGGGGGGACCCACGGGGGCCCCGGGGGGGAAAATTAAGCTTCCGCCCGCCGGGAAAGGAAGGGAGGGGGGTTTTTAACGGACCCCCGGGGCCCCCCTTACCGCGGGGTTTCGGGAAAAGGGGGCCGGCCCCCGGGGCGGGCCCCCCCCCTTAAAAACTGGCCAAAACCCGCCCCGCGGGAAGGGGGTTGAGGGCCCTTTTTCCCCACCGAGGGGGGAAAACCCCCCGGGGGTGGTTCCCCTTTGGGAAAACGCGGGGGCACTGGGGGGTTCCCCGGTTTTCCGGGGCCTTCCGGGTTTTGGGAGGCGGGCGGGGTGTTTAAGGGTTCCTTTTGCCCGGCCCCCGGGGGGCAAACCTCCGCGAGGTGGTGGGCCCCCCCGAATCTTTGGGCGGGACGTTTCCCAATTTGGTTTTCCCCCCGGGGCCCGGGGGGCCCCGGCGTCGACCAAAGGTTTTGGGGGGCCGCCCCCCATTGCCACCCCTTGGGGGGGGCCCCCCTTTTCCGGGGAAGGGGGCCGTTTTTAAGGGGCCCCGTTTGGCCGGGGGGTGACCCGTTGGGGGCGGGGGGTTTTTCTTACTAGACATCGCCAACGCATTCAATAGTCTGCCATTCAGCTGCATCAGGGAACCACTCCACTATCATGGGGTGCCAAAGTACCTGAGGCGGCTGGTGGCAGACTATTTAGAGGAGCGTACCGTCGTGTACGAGGACCGAGAAGGTAATTTGAGGAGTCGTCCCATGTCGTGCGGTGTTCCACAGGGGTCTGTTCTTGGACCCCTCTTGTGGAACATAGGGTACGACTGGGCCCTTCGCGCCGATTTCCCCCCCCGGGCTGGGTGTAATCTGTTACGCAGACGATACCCTGGTGACAGCCCGGGGGGCAAACTTCCAAGAGGCGGCGCGCCTGGCCACAGGGGGAGTCTCCCTGGTGGTCGGGCGCATTGAGGCGCTGGGCTTACGGGTGGCCCTAGATAAGACGGAGGCCCTGTTATTTCATGGGCCCCGTCGTGGTCCACCCCCTGGCGCCTCAATCGTGGTCAACTCGGTCCTCGTACCGGTTCGGGCCCAGATGAAATATCTGGGCCTGATCCTCGACGGGAGGTGGCTCTTCGACGAGCACTTCCGACAGCTTGCTCCAAAGCTGGTCGGCGCTGCGTCTGCCCTAGGGCGACTTTTGCCCAATATGGGTGGACCCAGCGTCGCGACAAGACGGCTGTACACGGGGGTTGTCCGGTCAATGGCACTGTACGGTGCTCCGGTGTGGGCGGCGGCTCTGACCGCCCAGAATAGGGTACGCCTCTGGCGCCCTCAGAGGGTAATGGCGGTCAGAGCCATACGCGGTTACCGCACCGTTTCGACGGAGGTGGCGTGCGCGTTGGCCGGAACTCCCCCGTGGGATTTGGAGGCGGAAGTGCTCGCCGAAGTTTATCGGCGAGTGGCTGACTCCCGGGCGGAGAGCGGATTTCGCCCTCCGCCCGAGGATGTGCGCGAGTGGCGCGAAGCCGCTCGCCGAGCCACGATGGCTCGTTGGTCGTTCCGGCTGGAGACTCCACGCGCTGGCTTCGCCGCCGTGGAGGCTCTCCAGCCGGTCATCGCCGAGTGGGCAGGGCGGCAGCACGGGACCCTTTCCTTCCGGCTGACGCAGGTGCTTTCCGGGCACGGTTGCTTCGGGAAGTACCTGCACTCGGTCGCTAGGAGGGAACTGAGTCCCGCCTGCCACCACTGCGACTGCAGTGAGGACTCGGCCCAGCACACGCTGGCGGTCTGCCCCGCATGGGTGGCGCAGCGCCGGGCCCTCACTGCAGTCATCGGAGTGGATCTCTCGCTACCGGCCGTAGTACGCTCCATGGCCGGTAGCGACAGTTGTTTTACCGCGGTCGCAACCTTCTGCGAGGTAGTAATCTCGCGGAAGGAGGCGGCGGAGAGGGCCCGGGAGGACGACCTCCACTCGGACCCGATCCGCCGCCGGCGAACCGGGCGGCGGAGGCCCGCCTATCACAGCCTCATGCCGCCCTGAGTGTGGCCGCGGGTGGACGGGGTGGGTTTCCCCTCCACCCGCATTAGTTTGGCCAGCCGCGAGGGGGCGGCGTCCGCGTGTGCCGGACGTCGCCTATAAAGAGAGGAAAAACATTGAGACGGAGCCCGCACCAGGAGCGGGCTGGCGCTAGGAGGGGTCCGGATGTCTTAACAACAGCTGTTCCCGGATCCCTCCTGTTACAGGCGCAGAGTGGCACACCGTGTGGTTTTAGTCGGTCCGAGTCCGACACACCACCCCGCCGCAAACCCCGGAGGGGTGACTGTCCGAGGGGATTTCCACACGTTAAAAAAAAAAAAAAAAGAATTGCAAATTTTGGTGAAAAGCAGAACAACTAAAGAGAAAATACTGAAAGATAAAAAAAGTGGAAAATTAAGGTATATATTTTGGTACTTACAAGTTTTCACGAAAATCGAAACTTCTCCATATCTTTTTATCGTATTGACTCAGCACCTAGATTTTTATACACCTAATAGGGACCATAGACCTCAGTATCTGGTATAAATTGCTAGGTCTACCCGTTCCTGAGATAATGGTGGTGACACACGGACAGACGGACAAGAAAGTGATCTTACAAGGGTTCCTTTTTTACCTTTTGAGGTACTGAACCCTAAAAAGACTTTTGGTAATCGGCAATCGACGGAGTAATCGGTGAACATACATGAAAAAAATACAAACAGTGGAACATAGAGCCTCCTTCTTTTTGAAGTTGTTTAAGAAACTCCGCGATGGTATATGACTATCTCCTAAGGACCTACAGTAACCATTTTTATCTTTTAGATGTTAAAAATTTTTGTTTATTTACTAAGCTATTTCAAACAATACGTTATTATTCCTTTCTCAATTAAATACGTTAGTTACGTTGTGCGTTTAGTGTGGATTAAAATAGTTCCTTACAGTTACAGCTCCTTATTGAATTGAATTGAACATTAGAGGTTTAAAATGCGGGGGCCCAACGAACGTCGAACCGTGCTTCTGGGTCGGCAGGATCGGTGCGGGCCTATAAATATTGCCTTTAGAGATGTCGTGTAGTATAGTCTTATCATAATAATAGCATCATTAATCACTCAACACTGACACCTCATTAGTACCACAGTTATTCACATCAGCAGGAATAACATTTGAAGGTGGTCGTTTTCCGTAGGTTGCTACCTCTCGCGACTTATATGAAATATAGTTTACCTACAGTCCATCTAATCGACCTCCTCCTTCTAAGGAAGGAGAGGCCTATGTCCTGCAGTGGACTGCAGGTTGTAGCTGTAGGTATAGGTTGGCTGTTGATGATGACACAATAGATAGATGTTTTTTTTTTGAACTTCGTTTCAAAGTCACGTGGTTAGGTCCTTTACAGTAGTGTTGCGGCTCTTTAAATTCACATGAATTCGAAGCGTTTCTCTCTCAATAATCGTTTAAATGTACGAAAAATCGAGATTATTAATAACGATTAATTTTCAATCCTCGCGTCTTAAAGTGTTTAATAATACTTAAAATTAATCTGACATCCAACTGTCAATGACAACGCATAATTAAAATTAAAAGTATGTAAGTTAATGTAAATCTTTGTAGGCAAAAATCGCTTGTGTCCAAGTCTAGTGTATACTAAAATTTACTAGTACAACCTATGATGTGCCATTACACGGGCTTTTATAGTAACATACCAAAATCCATTGATATAATACTTACGTGTTGTTTTAACTCAATGCCAAAATCTATAAAACTGTCTTCGATTAGTACACACGTAGAAATTATATCGAAATATCTTAAAAATCGGATACTGTAGTAATCGATTTCTTAAACCCCATCGCTGTACTTGAATCTGACAGAACTGTCAAACGGTACCTCTTAGATTGAATGGGCTACAGTAACTATAATTTACCTATTCTCAATAAAATTCATAATGAAAATATTATCTAGTATAAATGATATAATATTACAAAGCGAATGGAACTTCGTTCCGACCGAAGGTCCATAGACCCCTCACATCGTTTTTATTATTGTATTGCGTGTGCACAGTTTTACGATGGAGTGAGCATTAAAATACGCTTAAAAAGTGATAAACCTGGAACAGAGGTTATATGTCATCATTCAAAGCGAAAATCAGAAAAAATCTAAGATCTTATCACCATCATCACATCAACAGCCTTTAATAGTCCACAGCTGGACATAGGCCTCTCCTTAGAAAGGTACTAAAAATATAGAAACAGACTATAAACTCTCGAAAAACACATTCTATCAACGAAAGGAAACTCAACCTTAAGGACATATAAAAAAACATCTTTTTTTCATAAGTAAAATCTGTTACCCTCTTCCGTTAAAGCTATGATAATTGAAATAGATGTCAGTGTTTTATAGTAGAATGTAGTGGATTTCTGGGATTTTTAAGGATTTTTTTAAATTACAACACTGCTTAGTGCTGTCAACGTGACGTCATGAAGGTCGGCAAGTTCAATTTTCAAATAATTAACGTTGAAAATACCGGGCTGCATGCCTTACCGACATGTCCTTGCATTACATATAAATAAACAAAGAAAATGATCAATTAATGCTGTCGGATTACTAAATGTGTTACTCTAATTCATAATGGAACCATCTAAAGAAGCGATTGCTGTACGCATCACGCGATTAAATCGACAAATACTTGGTAAAGTAACAGGTGGTGCTACTAAGTTCAACAAAAAGACAATAGACCGCGAAGCTTTGCTGGATGCTCTAACAGTTCTTTATGATGAGTGCAACGATGATCCAGTCAAACGAACGGATGATTTGGTCAAAGCCTTCGTGGACAAATGTAAGTGAAATAAGTTCCACTCGTGTGTGCAGTTGGCAACGTATTTGAACTATGTCACATTAAACTTTATGAGAACACTGATATCTTGTATGTTACTATCTAAAACTTTCTGCACCTAAAGTTAAATTACTTTATAATATCGAATACATTTCAATAAAAAAATACAATAAGTATAAGAAGTTGCAAGGTGACTACTTTTAACTATTAACTATTTACTAAATTTTAGAATTTTCTGTTTTTCAAATGTGGTATATCATAATTCTATTTAAAAGCAACTTTGTCTTTGATGATTGTAGTGATTCACTTAACTGACAACAGTTATACATAAAAGGTAGTTGATAAAACATTATTTACAAACAAATGTTCAGTAAACAACATATATTAGTGATTTAAATAATACTAAGATATTTCTTCAAAACAAAAAATATAAACACTACAGATGTTAATTTTGGTAGTTGTAGGCAATGTACATCAAAATAATCTCTATTTAAGTTCTTATGAGCTTATTAGACATATTCCTCCCTCCTGATAACTCTGTCATATAATGATGGATTTTCAAAATTATTTTTTGGTCAAAAGGTAAACCCCTTTTGACTAAAATTTTTAACACCCAATTTTTTACCAAAAAAATAATTTTGAAAAGCCGAATTCCGAAATAGTTCCGTTTGGAGACAGATAACGGAACTCCTCAAAAAAAAAATGACAGCAAACAAATTGCTATTGCTGTTAGGTTTTTAGTGCTCTTTGTTTATATTATTCAAGTCGGTTCAACTTTTTTTAAAGGGCTTTTCTTGTATCTAATGTGATCCACTTTAATTGTAATTTTCATTTGTGTTTTTATTTATACTGATCAGCTTTTGCTTCCTGTCTACGTACCTATAAAATAGTAAATTTAGTCGAAGATTGTTAATACAAATCATCCCTAACAATTTAAAAAAAAAGTACTCTAATAGGTGATTTCTTTAAACAATCATATTAGAATGACTAACTTTGTATAAAAATGTGTTTTGCTAAAAATATATCTACTAGATCTTGATACATAGTATTTGTTTACACTAACACATGCTTGACTTTTTTGTTAACAATGTTTTAGAAAAAACACAGTTGTTGTATTATTACTCTCATTTCAATAATAATAACAGATTTATCATATACTCGTAGTTGTATCAAACATATTCCAGAGATGAGCACACAGTAGTTGACAGGTAGTAGAACTCATTAAACTAAAAACATACACTGAACAGTAGACAGTTGTCTGTTTCCATTCTAAATCATAAAAATGTTCAAGTATTCTTCTTAAATATTAAATGTTAGGATGCAAAGTAAGCCATATACGGATGTTGTTATCTACTCTGTTTATCGACATATATTATATATTTAAGAATAATCAACATTAATAATTAATTATACATAAAAATAATGTTATAACTTCAACTTGAATCACATACATATCACATGTCATATCAAAATCTTTGATTTATATGTTACAGATCGCAGCACATTGGCAGAGCTACGCAGGACTAGAGTTTGCATTTCCGACTTTGAGATGCTACAGACTATTGGCCGAGGACACTTTGGAGAAGTTCATGTAAGTTACACATAATATTATGCAATTTAAAGTCTAAAATAAATACTTTCAAAATTCAAAACATGTGTGAGAACTATAGTCGTCTTGATGAACATATTTATAAAAGTTAATAAATTCACACAATATTCATAATTTTTAGAATTATGAATATTGTGTGAATGAACTCTACAAAATAGACAACAAACCGACAGTTAAACATTAATTCATTAATGGTAATTTAATAAATTAATGAAAGAACAAATATTCTTTTTCCAAAACTTTCAAATTTAAAATTTTACAAATTAAATTAATTTATTTTATTTGTCCTATTATGTGGTTTATTTGTCCTTTGTTCTGTCTGTCAGGTTGTATGAAATAAACACACACTGGAACAATATTAATTATTTGCACAGATTGTTAAATTATAATTCATGATAATTTGTTGTTATGGGCCTCGTTGGTCCAATGGTTAGTGGTGCTGACTGCTAAGCCAGAGGTTGTGGGTTCGATTCTCACCTAGGATAAATAAAATCTTGTGATGAGCACGACTATTTGTTCTGTGTCTGGGTGTAATTTATCTATAATATATAAGTATGTTAATAACAGTCTGGTTACCATAGTACAGGCTCTGCCTGGTTTGGGATCAGACGGCCGTGTGTGAGATGTCTGAGATTATTATTCGTAATATTTATTTATTTTAATTACCGTCTTACTAGCATTTGCCCGCGGCTCCACCCGCTTATATGTCGTCTATCTCGGTAAAAATAGCCACAGGCTACCAATAGCCTTTGTATTTTGTCAAGTATTAATATACATATGTCCATACAAAATTTCATCTAAATCGGTTCACTGGTTATTGATTCCCCACACAAACTTCCTCCTCCCTTTTCATTCCCTTACAGTATGATTTCTGGGATATAAACTACCCTATGTCCTTTCCTGGGACTCGACTATCTCTATACCAAATTTCATTTAGATCGGTTCAAGAGTTTAAGCGTAAAGTCAGACAGACAGACACACACTTTCGCACTTATAATATTAGTATGGATTATTAAGTAGTTACTTTGCTATGTGTGTAAAAATAATAGCCTAATGTATGCATGTTAATCCAGATGGTGAGAGAAAAGCAAACAGGTGATGTATACGCACTGAAGACATTGCGCAAGGAGCAGTCGCGCAAGCGCGCGGCAGATGAAGAGCGCGACGTACTGGCAACTGCAACTGGACCCTGGTTACCTAAGCTGCAATATGCTTTCCAAGTTAGTTAAATATTGGTTACGATTTAAATAGTAATTGGTCTAAATCCATTATTTGAAATAACTTTGTAAAGTAAACCAAATTAAAATAAAAGTATTTTTATGAACATGATATTTTTCTGTAAAATACGAACGCGAACATTCATATAGAATATTGTCTGTAAATAATTTAAAAAAATCCTAACTATTTATTGTATTCTATTGCATGAATATTGTTCATAAGTTATTGATGCTCAGGCTTAAAGGATTATTATCCATTTAGGAGGAGGTCTTACACTTTTTATAGCTGAAATGTTTTTGTTTATTGTCAATCAACCGAATAGTCATATAGCTAGTACGTCATATAATATTGGAATCACATTTCATTATTAGGACAGCAACAATCTATACTTAGTAATGGAGTTATGTTGCGGCGGTGACCTGGCGGGCCTACTAGCTCGCCGCTCGCATCCACTGCCAGAGCGGGAAGCGGCCTTTTACGTGGCGGAGGTTACTCATGCGCTTAAAGCGTTACACGGAATGGGTTATGTGCATAGAGATGTGAAACCACATAATATACTGCTTGACAGGTAAATTATTGATACATGTGTCTAAAACATAATTTAGATGGTGTTGCTTGCTATTCAGTAGCTATATTAAATTTAATGCCAAGGTATGTTAACATTTTTTTTAACATACCTTGCAATTCAATATCGCTGGTAAATAGGTGTCGAAATTTTATACTAAATAAAATACCTAATAGCTATACTATAGAGTCATTAATATAGTTCAGCCATTCATATCTTCAGTTTATGGTGTTTTTTTTTGCAACACACTAATCTTTTGAACATAGATAGTTTTTATTGAGAAATGCTATAGTCAAACACATCTAAAACTGTGGGTAATCGCTGGTAATGTATATTTTGTTTGACTTTAAGCAATTAAAGTTATTTTTTGTGGAATCCATCAATCAAATTATAATGTGCTTTTATTTATTGCATAATATATTTATTACACTCATTGTCAATTTTCGGATTTTACTAATTAGTACCGTCGCAGTTTCTAGTAACGAAACATCGGGTAATCTTAGCTAAAGATAGCCCAGTAATTAGATTAGATTTAACCACTTTAATGTTCAGTAATTAATCATTTTAAATTAAAAGTACCTGATCAATAGTACATTATAATATACATATAACACATAAGAATAAGTAATAAGAGTGTTACTTTGTTGTGCACAGATGCGGGCACGTAAAGCTGGGCGACCTGGGGTCGAGCGCGCGCCTGTCGGAGGGCGGGTGCTCGGGCGCGGCGCCGGCCACGGCCGACTACATGGCGCCCGAGCTGCTCGCCGCCGCCGACTGCGCCACGCACACTGTCTGTGTCGCCTACTGCGCACGAGTCGTTACCACTGCCATTGTGGGTTGCAGTCACACGCACGCGCTTATGCACCTACCATGGTGGATTATGCACTGTGCTACCTAATTCAAAAACGTTAAACAAATACAATACCAGTGGGAAAGCAATACTTCTGCCATTTGGGCTATTCGAGCGGGGACCTCGCAAGAAACCGATGTTAAGAATTTTTAAAGTGAAAACTTCTTTAGGCGCGTTGGGCATCTTTGAACAGCAAACAAAAGAATGTTTTTTTTAGATGAAAAAAAACCTTGAAAACGCGACACTGTTACCGTTACCGACACCTCTGTATATAAGTATTTACATAAATTGGCCCCGTTTACACGAGGGTTAAGTTTGGGTTGAAATACATTGATAATATAACTATATATGTACAACATACATTGTGCATATACGTAAAACATATATATATGTATATTCATGTCGGAACTTTTCCAATCAAAAAAATCATTTTTTTTCCTGTTATAATTTAAAAAAAAACAAGTTTTACTGTCGGTACTCCCGGAGTGTTTTTTTACGTTGATTTTCACTGAGTGAGTGAGGTTACCTGAGGCCAAAAACTAATTCTGGAGGGAAACTCAAAGTGCGACAAATTTGTGAGTTTTGAGTTACAGGTGTGCATGAATATCTGTTACTCAATGTAATGTAATACTACCCAAACGAGATATCGAGGATATTTAAGCTGTTCACATGCATAATCTACCATGTAGTAGTTATTGATGTAGAATAAAATATGTAGAAACAGAAAGTTTGAATAAAGTCCTAGCATGATATTTCAGGAATGGATTGGATATTAAAACATTAACAAAAATTAACCAATGAGGCACTTGTGCAAAGAATAAATTATTTCGTTTAACTATTTAAGATAACAGTGATCAAGGAACTAATACATAAAATATTAATTTTATAGTAAATGATAAAGCTTTAAACCATTGCAATTTATTTAACCCTGTGTGGTGGTGTAGATTATTACTGGATATGAATATAAAAATAATAATGTGATCACAACCATTAAGTAGTTACACATCTTAGAAGTCACTGTGAATGTACCTTTACGACTATTTAATTGGTTTTAGTAGTCAAATCAAGTCAACGTTTACATGTTCTGTTTATTATACCTATACAGTCATCGTGTGACTACTGGTCGCTAGGAGTGATCGCCTTCGAACTCGTGACGCTGCGACGACCGTTCTCTACGGGAGATGAAGACTCCATCCCACAGATTCTCAGTAATATACAGAGGTCAGTATTTTATATAACATGAACGTAACATACCAACATATTAAATCTGAATAATAAAAATGTTACATATCGTAAAAACCGAGTCACTTCACCTTAATTACGATGTTTATGTTATTAGGTATGAACGCGAATCCACTCCTGAGTTACCATGGGACGAACCTCCGGCGAGTCCATCTCGGGAATGGCGCGCCTTAGTTGCTGGACTACTGAGAGTGATCCCATCGAGAAGATACTCTTATTTGGACACTCTACAACACGCCGCGTTGGCACATCTCCCCGCCCATAGTATACGCGATCAGGTACTTCACCTATAACAAATACCTTTGCATATAATCATAAAAAGAGGCACCTTCATCACATCAAACTGCTAAGCTCTACACAGCTTCTCATCGATAATTAACGCAATAAATTGTGTCAATATTGACATACCAATCACTACATACTCTACAATTTACACACGTAAAAAGAATTTACCTAACGATACCCCATTTTAAAATTATTTCGAAAATCGCTCCTGCAATCCTTTTATTTTAATTCCTTTTGGGAATGAGGAGATTTCGGTGAACAGATAGGACACTGCGATCCATATACAAGAGGTACTCAAGAATTTGTGATTGTTTTCCAGGCGCCTCCCTGGGTGCCGTGTATACGCGGTTCAGAGGACTCTTCGTTCTTCAATCCACCTGCGCGGGGCCCTTCCCCGCCCAGTGCTGCACCTTTCCGCACCAGACCACCTTTCGCTGGACAATTACCTTTTGTTGGTGAGTTAATTTTACCACTATGCACAAGCCTGGCGTTCTTATCGATTTAAAACGAAATTTAGTTATTGCAAGATATTATTAATGCGGGAGTTGTCTTTTTAAAAAATAAGAAAAAAGTAAGATAGAAGCGTTTGAAGATTTAGCATATCATTGAGTTTTTAATTATTCGTTCGTAAAAAAAGTAGTACTGTGGGTTACAAATTATCCTCCCAGTACTGCTTTGAACCAATTGATCACAAGTACGATGCCTTAGCCGTTACTCTACCGTCGCTTCGCTTTTTCCAACTTAAAATACATAATAATAGATACCAATAAAAAGTTGATTTAAATTAAGAATTTTGTTAAGTTAAGAAGTTATTAAAACAATCTTCGGACGTCTTGGGGTATGACTTATTGCTATGCATTTTATGGCTTTCACTTGGTTTCTAATTCTTATCTTCTTGTTTTCAATTTGTCGCACAAAGTATTTTTTGATGATTTAATTTCATTTATAGGTTACACATATGTTGCCTCCGATGATCACGAGGATAGCAGCGGTGGTTTTAATGCTTCGCACGACTGCACCGCCATCGATCTTGCCACTTTCAAGTAAGTAAAATAGGTCATGCAATTTCGATGAAATTTGTTGTGTGGATTCAAGAATGGTTTAGATTGAAAAAAAAAGGTTTGAATTTTTCGGATTTAAGACGTATGTACAGGACAACGTAACGTACATACATATGTACTGCACGGATAATATCACAATATATCACATATTGACTGCATGGATGGCGTAGTGGTTTAAGCGGTCGCCACGCCACTTCCTACTACACCGAGTGTTGTGGGTTCAAACCCCACATGGGACGACACTTTGTGTGATCCACAAATTGTTGTTCTAAGTCTGGGTGTTCTTTGTGTCCATTTCATGTGTGTTTGTAAAGTCCCCCGCGTTTCAGGAATGTATTCCTAAGGCGGGAGTTGTCTTCTAAAAAAATTGCGCTCAATAGTTTATATGCAAATTGTTTAATATAACATGTAAAAATCAATAAATAATTTTGGCGATATAAAATAAATTACCATGTCTTTTCTTCTTCTTCCTTATCTAATGGAATAGAGTTTGCTCTAATAACATAATCTTATTTGAAATCTAGATCAGCTGAAAAGCTAGCAGCAATGCGCAGTCGCGAAATCGCTACATTACAAACTAAGTTAGCCGAGACAGAAGCATTGGTGAGCACAAGTGTTGAGCGCACACGTCACGAGGCCGAGGCCGAGGCCGAGAGAGTGCGTGCACGATTACAGGCAGACATCACTGCACTTACCCTGCAGAACAAGTAACTAATTATAAAATTATCTACGTATGCGTTACCAAGTACCAATTCAACAAAACAATAGTAAAACATGCCTACAACATATTTTAACAACAATTATTATACACATATTGTTTAAGGCTACCTGTCATTCGAACTTGTGGAGGAACGGATGTTATGTCCCTCAAACACAAAGGAAGGATCCTTCACAATAATATTCTATATCATAATCATTATTTGTAATTATGTGTGTATTATCATCATTTTAATTATTTTCAAAATTACGACACAGTACAATGTAGCAAGAAAACATAAGCATTGTAGCTTACATTGCTGACTGTACTCAATAGGAATAAAAATATAACAAATACAAACTGGCACAGATAGTTGTTGTTAAATTTTAGGAGTGTTATGTAAAACTGACTAAAAGTAGATATTTTCGTTAAATAAAGCATTATTTAATATGATAAAATGAGCACCAGGAAAAGCATTTATTATTCATTTCTCCGCAAATCATTATAAATTGTCAAGTCATATTTTTTCTAAGAACATAACTTATTTTTCTCCGCAGTACCAGAGATAAATTGGTGGATGTTCCGACATAATTTCTCTTTGCATTAAATAATTTGTTTCCATCAGGATACTAGTAACCATAATCCACTGTAAAAATTATGACAATGTATCAATATGAAAAAAAAACTCTCTGGGTTGGTCTGGTTAAGTCCTGAAAGTCACATTCGAAAATCCATCCATACGATAGGTACTGATATCGGTTTATTTGTATTGCGTCAGTTTTTCTGTTTCACTAATTTCCACACCTCAACCAATGATTATATTGTATTGCGGGATTATAGTATATTGTATCTATTGCGGGAATAGCTACAGTTGACTGAGGTGTTTCATCTATATCTATACAAATAAATAAAATTGGAGTGTCTGTTTGTAATATTAAAATAACTGCTTTTTACTAAATGCATATGTATGTTTACACGGTACATATGCCAAAATAACATTTTTTTCATTTTTTGTCTGTGTCTGTCTGTCTGTTTGTTCCGGGTAATCTCTGGAACGGCTGGACCGATTTCGACGGGACTTTCACTGGCAGATAGCTGATGACATAAGGAGTAACTTAGGCTACTTTTTTGGACCAGTTTCGCCTCGCGGCGTTGCCCGCGGTTATAACAACAAACGCGGGTAACACCGCGGGTCTCAGCTAGTATAAAATAAAATTGTTTTGTAAAATAAAATGCGCTACAACTGCAATTTTTTTTTGAAAATTTAAAATGGCTGAATATAGTCTTAATGTCACTCGAAATTACAGACGTCTAGAGCGCCAAGTAGAAGTAGAGAAAGAAGAACGAATGGCTCTTCAGCGTACCAATCAGGAGCTAACTACAGGTATTGCCGAACGCAACAATGCGGAGGTCCGTAACGCTAAGGCAGCAGCTGCTGCGCTACAGGCAGAGAGAGACAAGTTAAGAGACGACTTGAGACGTTTGCAGGCTAAGTGTGATACCCTGCAGACAGATTGTAGCAGAGCCTTGGCAGAAGCAGACTCAGCTAAGTCGCAACAACAACATTACAGAGTAAGTTGTAATTTAAGATTAGTACTTCTGCCTGGTAATTAATAATATAAAAAACAGTAACACTTTTTATTGACTTCTCCAAAGGTCATTATTACAGGCAATTTGGTATTATTTGCAACTTTTGTTCTTGTGAGTTTGTGTGTGATGATGATTCACAAATAAATATTTTAATAGTCTATTCTAGTAGATTTAATATCTATTTTTATTGAGTTAATAGTTCAGTAATTTACTAAATAAAGATACTTCATTTAAAATTTATTAGGAACTCAATTATTTTATCTTAAAAGCTGAATATAAATTTCCTTTTATAAATAATTTCAAATTATCAATAAAATTTAAATGGCAGGACATAGTAGATCACGTACAAGATTTACGTCACAGGCGTCTGACGGAATTGAACGTGCGTACCATCGTAAGTGAACTTATACGATTAGAACTAAGCCATGTACTTATTAGTATAGCTGTAGACCTAGCGAATATGTTTAGTGAATGTAGTCTTATTCAGTAGCAGAAATATATACAATGTATTTTACCATTGTATAAAGGATGTAAGGAACTGCATGGTAAAAACCGAATTCTCAATGACACAGGTGATTCACGGAAAAAACAATATCTGGCTCAAAAACGGCAATTGGATCAATTACTCGACATTCAATATGACTTCCGAGTAGGAGGCGTAGTGATTTAAGCGGTCACCTGAGTTGAGTGTTGATGGTTCGATCCCCACATGGGACAACACTTTGTGTGATCCACAAATTGTTGTTCTGAGTCTGGGTGTTGTTTGTGTCCGTTTCATGAATTTAGGAGTTGTCTGTTTATAAAAAAACATTTAAATCCTGACTCAGTCCGTTCCTTGTTGCGATACCGGGACGAGATAGCTTTAGTAGCCGTACTTTCTGCATCGCGAAAATAAATGCTTAATCAAAACTAAATTTGCTCTGATTTTTGCAAAGTAATAAGACATTTATATCAGTTTATCGTGACGCTATCGCGCATTCATTTAACTCGCAATAATAAATTTACCTTTACTTGTAAATATAAATTTATTTATTTCGCAATAATAAATTTAACTTTTACTTTACTTTACTACTTTTAATTTTAACAAATTTTATTTTTTAGTTAAATGAACACATAATTGTTGTGCTAAGGTTTAAGGATAGTTAAGAATGTCGATTAGGAGTAGTTTTAGAGAGTATTGTAAGAGTCAGTTCAATTTTAAAATAAGTAGTTTATAATATAAGTATTTGTGAGGATATAAATACCAAGCTATCATAAAAAACATAACCAGCACAGTGGTGATGGAATAATTAGTCTTTACACTCATATTTAATTGTGAATTCTTAATTAGAAGTTAGCAAATTCATTGTATTCGTGAACGTATGAATTAATACGTACACGTAACACTCTTCAAAACTTAAGTGAGAGGAGCAGCAGTATGAGAGGGAACTATTATCAAGCTCATCAAAAGACTAAAAAAGACTTTGGAAAAACATGAAAACCATTTATAAATAGTAACAATTCTAAATCTAAGAACACTAATCTTTTACACGTAAAAGCAACACAACACATCGAGTCTGTGAATCACATAAACACATTTTTTTCTAATGTTGTAAGGAGTCTTGCAGAAGAACTGACTGCATCTCAGCATAAGTCACTTGTCACTCTGCAAACGTTATCAAATACACAACTGTCTTCATTTGTCCTTCTAGACACGGATCATGTTGAAGTCTTTCATATATAATAAAATCGTCCTTATGAACCCAAAGTCTGGAAGTGCGCCAGGGATTGACAGTATTAATACAGAAGCTAAGTTTGCTAAGAGACAGTTCACTGTGCAGGCACCTTACTTGTACAATAATGCAAACAAAATTTTAAATATATAACAATTGAAATAAAAAAAAACTCAGAGTCATTGTCCATCAATGTCTCTTTGACTTTTTTTTAATGGCATAACCTTAGATTATGATGATGTTGAAAAGTTGTTGTTGTAATTGTAATGTATATGTATTTTTATTGTCTTTTTTTAAGCTCTTGTGTTCTTGTCGTTGTAGAAGATGGAGTGCACTTTGCACCTTTGCACTCTCAGAAATAGCATCAATCGCGCCGCGCTCGGTCTCTGTTCCGAGCAAAATAGGTGCTTAAACGTGATAGCAGACGGTTCGTTTTTCGTTCACTTAGAAATTTAGCATTAGCAGTTTTAGCAGATTTATTAACTTAAATTTAGTCTTCGCGTTGATGCGAAGGAGAAAGCACGCGATGTGTGAATGTGAAGCGCTAACGAATGAAGCGATGAAATTTCGTATAGATACGTATAAATTCATACGTTTACGAAATTTCACGACTAAAATTAATTTGCTAACTGTCAAATGCTAATTAAATACGAGTGTGAAGACTAATTATTCAATCACTACTATATAGTATTACTATATAGTATTACTAACAAGTAAGAAGTTTAATTATAGAGTAGGTATAGATAATTTAAGTTTTGAAGAGTGTGACGTGTTCGTTGTAAATAGGTATTTTGTGAATAGATAGGGATATTTTTTGGAAATAGGTAGAGTTAAGTGACGAATTGACGAAGGCTAGCATATCGCAAACAAGCCCTATATCATTATTTCTGTAATAATGTTGGTGAAAATAAAATAGCAGCCACTTTTGATCGCGAAAATCGCGGTAAGTTAACATATAATAAAAATAAGTTATATATGTGAAATTAATACTTAGTGATATACCTACAAGTTACGATCGTTTTCTATTTGCTCTCCTTATACGGAATTGCAAATATTAGCATTAGCAATTAACATGCTAAGACTTAAAAAATCGCAATTAATTTAATTAAATCTAATTAGCATTAATGCCCATTACTACAGCACAGATAGATACATACTTTTTTAAATATATGCACTAGAAATAATAATAGTTACAAAAGTACAAGGGATGGAAACGTAGCCCACCCAAATTTATATAATGGCGAAGAAATTACATTTTTGTTTTATTTTGTCGCCTTTCCATTAATTAAATATTGAATGAACAAAAACAATTAGATTAAATCCTAATTGGCAATGTATGTTTAAGTATACTAGGAACCCATGTTAGTTCAGCTTAAGGAGGTATGTTTTACCTAGCATTTGAAATGCCAGTTCTCATAATTTGTATTTTCGAAAAGATTAAATTGTGTATTCCAAATCTATGTTAGTTCGTGTCTAGAGTTAGTGTAAAAATATTTGCATGTTTACTTAGTTAGTGTGATTGTATATACGAGGGGTGATCAATAAGTAATGATAATCAATATGAAACAGAACTATTAGATTAAAAAAAGTATTTTATTTTTCAACATAGTCTCCTTGCAAGTTAATACATTTAGTGTATCTTTTTTCTAAGCCCATGATTCCCTTAGAAAAAAATTCTTTGTCTTGACCCTCCCAAAATGCCTCTACTGCGGCCATCACTTCACTATTGTCCTCAAATTTGTTGCCCCGGAGGTGTTCTTTGAGCCGAGGAAAGAGGTAGAAGTCACTGGGAGCTAGATCTGGCGAATAGGGAGGGTGTTCGAGCAGTTCGAACCCCGTTTCTTCAATGGCAGCCATCGCAACTGCGGCTTTGTGAGCCGGGGCGTTGTCTTGGTGAAACAGCACTCCAGCGCGCAGTTTACCGCGTCTTTTTGACTTAATAGCTTCTCGCAATCTTCTTATTTGGCCTGCGTAGTAAGAGCCTGTTATAGTGGCCCCTTTTCCAAATATTCCACCATAATAATTCCTTCTGCATCCCACAAAACAGACGCCATAACCTTGCCCGCTGAACTTGACACTTTGAATTTCTTCGGCGTTGGTGAGGAAGCTCGTTTCCAAGTCATTGATTGTTGTTTGGTTTCGGGATCAAAGTGGTGGATCCAGGTCTCGTCCATGGTCACAAAACGCGACAAAAAAAATTCTTTATCGGCCTGGAACTTTTGAAGATTCACCCTCGAAATGTCGACTCGTTTCTTTTTTTGCTCGTCGGTTAACATTCTCGGTACCCAACGCGCAGAGACCTTTTTCATATGCATTTTGTTGACAATGATTTTTTGAACGCTGCCATAGGAGATCCCTGTGACCTCAGCTACATGCCTTACGGTCACCCTTCGATCGGCCAACACGATATCTTCCACTTTTTTGACGTTTTCTCCAGTAAGGGACGTGGAAGGGCGTCCCTCGCGATGTTCATCTTCAGTGGAGGTTCTGCCCAGCTTAAATTCCTTTGCCCAGCGTGCGACTGTGGAATATGGAGGAGCAGACTCCCCCAATGTTTCCTCTAAGTCGCTGTGTATGTCTTTGGTAGACATTTTTTTCAGGCAGAGGTACTTGATGACAGCTCTTATTTCATTTTTCTCCATTTTGATGTTTTCTCTTCGACAGTTCATATTCAAATGAATGTATCTCCCGGTAATGGTGTCCTATTTATACATTTTTTTGAAGCTGAAGTAGTGGATATATAAGCAAGCAGAAAAAAAATAATTTGGGTTTTTGTGCGTTCTAGAAATACTCGATTATCATTACTTATTGATCACCCCTCGTAGTAATTAATGTTTTGTCGATGACAGTGGGGAACGGCGGTGAGAGATTGCCAATAGATAGAAATGTAATACTGATTTATCAAAGTGATCATTCCACTATAATCTCACGAACTAGTTAGTCGCTTGCCGCTAATATAAGGACCTTATTTAGTTGCTAGTAATTTTAGTTATAATTCAGCTATAAAGAAAGTAAACGATTACTAATGGTCAGCTGGAGCTAATGTTATTATTAAGCTAAGCCTTCTCCAATAATGGCAAAATTTTTACCTGGTCTAAACCGGCTGCTCGAGATCGATTCTTGGAGCCATATCTTCATTTTCAGAATCAATTATCGTTGACTGTAGTGGCGATGGCTAGCATCGTCTTTAAACCACACAGTAGAAAAGGGTCAACTGTAACGTTTCCGTTAGGTTAATCTATCAAAATAAGCAAATGGGGAATATACTTACTAGGTAGAGGCCTATCAGATTCTGTTCAGCAGTCTGCTTTTTCCTAAGTATATTTTATTTTTTGTTCCAGGATACAATAGCAAAGGAGCGTGCTATTCGTCGTCAGACATTAAGCGGTGGTGAGGCCGAGAGCCGAGAGGCAGCGGCCCGTATCGCCGCTGCTGAAGCCAACGCCTCAAAGGAATTACGGGCGAGGCAGCTGGCCGAGAAAAAACTCGCTAAGCTAGAGGATGAGAATAGAGTGCTAAGTGATGAAATAGAAGATGTTAAGAGACATTTGGCGTCGACTCAGGTAGTAATGGACATTCGTTACACAATATTCGATGTAGTAGAAATCGTTTCAATGTTAAAACATTGAAAAGATTTCGTTTCAATCGTCTCGTTTTTTTTCTTCAGTTGTCTAGTGTGAACAGAGAAGATAATGTAATATTATGCCAAATTTTGTGTTTTAGTTCCAAAATGAGGAAATATGGCGCTTATGATCTGACCTGAGATGATAATTTTGACCTTTTGATAAACAACTTTTACTAGTATAGTTTTCTAAAATCAAAATTGGGGCCCTCTCAATGACGACCACCTCATTTCAACACAGACTTTTTTAATAAAATTGCTGTAATATTAAGCTGATAGAATAACAATCTAAACAACTTTAACCGTGTTTTGTGTAGAATAAACTGTCTGAAAAGCAACACATGGTTGTCACATCAGCCGAACAACTAAAAGAGTTACAAGTGCAACTAGCCCAGGAGCGAGTCAGAGCTTCAACATTACTGGCGCAAGTGCAGGTAAATAAATATAAAAATAACTTAATCCTCACGGTTCATTTCTCGGCTACGACAGACATAAAACAGCATATTATAATAATGTGTGTTTCGGTAGGAACTGGAGCGTAATGTTGAGGAGGCCGTCCGTCGCGAAGCTGCGCTGGAGGAGCAGTGCGCCCGCACCGAGGCGCGCCTCAACGAGCGGCTCGAGGCCGCCGAGCACAGAGCCGCCGCCGCACTACACGAGGACGCCAGGCACAGAGAAAAAGTACGTCTTTTCAACTAACTTTTTATTTGAACCGGTTCTCGTTCCATATTTCATAGTAATAATAATATTTTGCGTACTTTTGTTTGATAATATAAATTTAGGAAGACAATAAATACAATTACGCATGGTACTGCATCATATCTATTAAGGACAAAACATGGTGTGTGCAGAGGCCCAAGTACGAGTTTATTTCACATCTACTCGATCGTCACGGTGTCCGCGTTTAGCGCTGCGATTCGCCCGCACTGAAATCTCCACCCACAACACCAAACGCGCTCGCTGTCAAGAGCGAGTTGATGTGAAACAAACTCGCACTAGGCCCTCTGACCGTACGCACCTACACGATTTTCTAATAGACCTACTTCATGATAAACCTTAGTAAGATGATAATTAACACGCATTGTTTAAGGTATTTTTTTCTTTTGTTATCAATATTCAGTTCAGTATTTATCACTATATCATTTTACAGGTGAACACTCTAGAACAATTAGTCCGTCAGCTTGAACGTGAGGTAAACGCGTTGGAAAAGCGTTCTTGTGTGACGTGCACGACGAATGCTGCACAACCGGAAAGCGAACAGGAGGTCCCATTAAACGCATGTCACAATGGGGTTGAGAGCGTCCCCACGAGCGCCAGAGATATAAAGAAAGATGCTATCTCTGACACTGAAAGTGTCGGGGATGTGAATGCACAGCATGCGCATGCGCAACTCTCCTTGTTAAAAGAACAGCTGGAAAGAGCAGAGGCACAGTTGCAGGTAGGCTTCATACTTAATATACATGTTATTATTTTATTGACAGATAAGGTAATACAAATAGAAAATCTATTTCGTTACTTAGCGGGAGTAGGATTTGGAGCTTCTAATTAAACACAACAAAATTATATTATGTAATTTGTTGTTGGTAATTGCCAGGACAAGTAACGGAAAACGGATTTTATTTTGACAATCAACTGTTTCAAAAAATTTGATAGTATTTTTATAAGAAAAAATCTTTAGACATGTTACTGGGTAGGAGAATTCAGTTATCAGATGTTTTTAAACAGATGTATTTAAACTTACGCAAGACACATTGTGACACACTTGACGAGTTCTAAATCGTCAATAATGTAACGGCGGTACAGTAATTAGAAGTAATCTGATTTATATTAGCTACGTGAAACTTACTTTCTGGCATAGTAGAATAAAATTTTGACATAAAAGAAAACAAATCTGTTAACATTTTGCCACCTTTGCCAATTTGTGGACAGCCGGAAACACTATGACACTATCTACACAAACAAATAGTTCTTGTGAGCAAAGTAGATAGAAAATGACCTAGGAACAGATTACATCACATTAGTCGATGGCCTGACAGTCATTCTCAGACTAGCTGAAGAAGCACCTATTCAACACTACAACCAAGGCTTATCACGACAGGACCGTTATGACCTTCAGTGATAAAGAAATAAAAAAGATCCTACATCATCATCTCAGCCGACAGACTGGACATAGGCCTTCCCCGCAACAACAACCGGTCCTATGCTTCCCGCATCCAACGGCTTCCCGAAATAGATCCTTGAGGCCATCTAAAGAAATCCTCTAAACTTTCTTACAAATCGTCGAATTCACTCACAAATTCATGTAAATCACACAGCTTCACCACGATACAGTTTTTTTAAAGATTTTAGTGTATTTATTTTATTGAATCGAGCGGTTGTTTAATTAAATCTAATCTTCATAAGGTATGGATGTCTCACATTTATAGCATATGTAAACATTTCTCAGGCGCGTGCTGAAGAATTAGCAACTCTTCGTCAAGAAACCAGGGCAGCTAATTTAGCGAGATGGCGTAAGGTGAGTTCTTACATAACTTAAATATTAATTACAATGCAATCCACACTTTCTACTAAGTTCTATATTTTAATGTAAAAAGTAGCTTCTGTATAAGATTCGTCCAAATGTCAGTTTACCAACCACATAGCTATCTTCAGAAGAATAGGGAATATGCACGTGACACCAAAATGGACAAAATATTTTTATTTGTAATTTTTATTGCTAAAAAAAGATACCCATACAATTATTTTGGAAATTTATTATAATTTAATAGTGAAATTTAATGCATATTCCCTATTCATTGGTTTGTGTTCTACTCGTCAGTCTTGTGTAACAGAACCAATACGAAACTTTCTGTACAAATTGCATACTAATAGCCGGTTTTAAAGGTCATTATGTCCTAACTGCTGCGCCGAGAGTTGACTGCAGATAAGAGAAGTCATCAATGGTCAACGATATAGGCCAGAAAAATTTAGATACGTTAATACGTACATGATTTTCATTTCAAAACTTTGACAGACTATCCAATAATAGTCTTTCATAAAGTTTACCACGATCTTTAAAAGATCCACGCCAGGCCGCCACGCCGCTCACTACTACGCTGAGTGCTGTGGGTCCGATCCCTACATGGGACGACACTTTGTGTGATTCACAAATTGTTCTTCTGAGTCTGGGTGTTATTTGTGTCTATTTAAAAAGTAAAGTCCCCTGCGACACAGGATTTATACCTAGTGCGGGAGTTGTCTTTTTAAATAATAATACATATAAATATAGTATTTATATATATAGATAGTGCCTTCTGCCTTTATCCTATCACATCATGCTTATTTTTTAAATTATTATCTAATATTACAACTTGTTTATTTCCTCTGTCGTATAGGAACGCGAATATAACGAACTTTCAGTAGAATCAAAATCAACTGCTCGTGACCTTAAACGCGCAGAGGAACGTTTGACCACCGCCATCGAAGCTCGGAAGAGTGCTGAGAAAAAAGCAGGCGAAGTACATTCTGAACTAGCGTCTCTAAAACCCAAGTATGAACTAGCTAGCCGGGAGACGGGGCAACTAAAGGAGCGCTTAGAAAAGCTTGAGAAGACTAATGAAGTTATTCAAGTCGAAGTTGATAGGTATGTATTGTTATGTTAGTTTGTTTTTATTAAAGCAATTAGGAATAATCCATTTTCCAGAAGTTCATCAAAGGATCAGACAGTCAGACTTAATAATGTATCTGTGAATTGTGTAAGTAGTTGGTTCATAAAACACTAACTTGGCCAATGTGAAACAGATGTTAGTAGTAACTAGATTAACAGAAGGAAGAAATAACCGATTATATTGATTAATAGTAAAATAATAGAGAATAGATCAAGGAAAAAATCTCTTCAGTTATGTATCTACCGGTGCATGTGCACCGATAACCCTATTTACACTTCGTGCCGCACACTAAGTTTTGGAACGCTTATTCCTTGAGTTTTTACGACGGTGCATGCTACGACTTGAAATCCGTAAATGCTATTGTCCCGCAATGCTGTGTGCTATCACCCACACTTTCTTCAGCATATCAATGACATGTTGTAAACTAATGTCATCCATTGCTATGCGGATGATAGTATGGGAGATGCCCTTTATACCGGCTGTCCCAATATTTATCGGGAAAGCGTCATCGAAAGTTGAAACAAACTTGTGTCTAAAATTGAAACTTCTTACCTGAAATTTCAGATTGAATTCAACTATATCTAGTCCACTTTAACCCAAAAAAGACACAGGTTTGCGCATACACCGCTAAGAAGATACCGTTTGTCGTATCACCTCGGTTTCAGAGCATCTCCCTAGCTGCCTCAGCCAGTATCGGAATCCTAGGCATCGACATATCGAGCCAAGTCGACGGGTCACTTAGAGGGTAATGTCAAATTGGCCTCGAAGAAGCTCGGTGTGATAAACAGATCTAGGCCGCATATAGAATACTGTTCTCATCTCTCTCCCTCTAGACCGCATTCAACATAGAGCGACTCGAATCGACGATAACCCAAAGTTCTCCGATCGGCTCGATCCCTTTGGCGTTACGTAGAGATGTCGCTTTACTCTGCATTCTCTATCGTATATATCATGAAGAGTGCTCCGAGGAATTGTTCTGACTAATACTGGCCGCAACTTTCCGCCATCGTTCCACACGGCAAAATTTTCATCTCCATTACTTGGATAATGGGCGCTCCACCACTGTGCACTTTTCAAGAGACTTTTTGTCTCGCACATACTGCGGTATTTCCCGATCAATATGACCCTTCAAGAAAGGAGCGTACTTCTTCTTAAAAGGCCTGCAACGCGTTTGTGACTGCTGATTTGCAGACGTTCATGGGCGGCAGTGGTCACTTACCATCAGGTCCGTCTGTGCGTCTCTTGCCGATCGATTGCTGAAGAAAAATGTTAAAGTTTAAAATATTAAGGATTCCTAATCAATTGGGCTTCCTGTTTATTGAAAGCTGAACAATAATATTATTGTTATACATTTTTCCGTGTAAACGCCAGATTTTTTAATTCTATTGTTCGTTTCTTAGTTTTTTTATTACTTTTTTTCATTGTGTTACAATGCCGTATTGTCATCGCATTATAAAATACACGATATTAATCCTAGTCTCCCAAAATGTATCAGTACTTTGGTTGGTTTTTGACCCCTGACGCAAAAACAACGGTGTGTTATAAGTTTGATGTGTGTGTGTGTGTGTGTGTGTGTCTGTCTGAGGCATCGTAGCTCCCGAACGGATGAACCAACTTTGATTTCGTTTTTTTTGTTTGAAAGTTGGATTAATCGGGAGTGTGGTTAGCTATGTTTGATGAAAATCGGTCCAAAATGGCCACCGCCACAAAATGGCGGATTACATATTTTTTCACAACTCCTTCAATATGGGTATTCAATGATTCTCGAATATTTATTTCATTTCATAGGCTTGACTATTAGAACACTATACACTATAACAAATTTCAAATCCAAGATGTGTCTTGGGGCTTTTTTTAATTTTCAATTTATTTTTTACTCACAACGTCTCTTCTACTGGTTACGGGATCGAATTTGACTTCACAGTGCCGCAATCCTCAATTCCTCAATCAATAAGTAAATATATGATCAAATATTTATTGACAGTTTTAAAAATATCTGACACTGATAAAATCAGTAGAAGATAAGATATGTGTGCCATCTATAGCTAGAGCACATTACTAGATAAAAGAAATAACAAAGTGGACATGGAGACTACATAAGATGTCCTACAATATTAAAAGAAGGTAAAATAAATATGCAATAACTCAAATACTTGCAACACATCAATTTTAATTCTATGTATGTATGTTTGTCTTACATGAAAATACTGTTTAACTTATATTGGTCCTTAACTACACCTTATTTGAGGTAATTATTTTGTCGCCACTGGAGGGTAACCCAAATTATTTAATTACATAGTGATCATAATGGGCATCATAATGCGTAATGTGATGCAAAAACTTCATTTAAAACATTTTTTTTTGTGTTAAGGTCTCGTAACGATATCCGAAAACTAAAGAGTGAACTGCAGTATAGCGAGAAGCGTAGACTGCATGCCGAAGAACAGGAGGAGCTCTCGAGCCGAGAGCGGGCACAGCTCAGAGACGAGCTACAAGAAATTAGGAGGCACAACAACGACCTTGTGCAGGTATGTATTCACTGACTATTAAAATAGTATTGGTTTAATTGGTTGGTTTTAGTTGGTCTAGTCATATAATTAAATGTGTAATAATTAATAGACATGTTTTGTGCTTATAAAAAACCCCCTATTCCTCAACCCCCGATTTCTCAGGCTAGCAGTTACAAAAACACAGCAGCCATTGCAGGGTCGTTGTTAGGGTCTTTCTATACGATGCAAGTAGCTGGAGCGGGTAAAGACGCGGGTTACTTGCGTCAATAGCATGTACGAGTTACTTGCTCGTTTGGTTGATATAATATGTGCAAGTAACCCGCGCGAGTCGCTGGAACCGCATAGTGCCTCAACATGCGCAAGCCACTTGCATCGTATAGAAGCATCCTTTTTGTGCCACACCGTGGAAAAAAATGAAAGACTCAAAAGGTCTAAGACATCGATAAGAAAGTAAAGAGCAGTATCTCAAAAGCTTGTAGTGTTTTCAAATCCAGTATGGATTCCCGGCCTTCTTAAGGGTCACCAACATCTTCAATCGGGATCCAAGCCAATCTCGACTGCCTGTGGTGGTCTCTTCAAAATGTATAATAAACGAGGTAGTTGTGACCTACCGTATACTACATGTACCGGACCAACTGTCCTGTCATGTCGGCACGTGTATCCTTTGCCCTATGGACTAAATACGTCACTGCGGCTGTAAATTTCCTTTTTTTATAGTGTACTAATGTTAAGTAACTGCCGCTGTTCATTAAAACCTGAAACTTAAGAGTTACAACATTATGAAAATGCGTATGTATTTGATTTACTAGACACCGAACTTTAAAATGAGAACTAAATTAAAAGGAATTTGTTTTTATTAAACTGGCGATGAAATCTCAGTTATGTATGTATCATAAAGGGTTTTGTTTATGTTTTACAATCGAATTATCCAAACTAAAATGTTTGTATTATGAGTTCGCACAAGCCTATTGTATAAACATCATTGTTCCGAATGTTGGTGAAGTACCGACTGGTATGTGAACAGAGATTATCCAGACTCATCTCGACACGGCTGGGCGTTCGACCACGCTGTTCAAAACTCATAATTGAAAATTAATTTCTGTTATTACCCTCATAGTTAAGGCATGCGTTATATAAGATTTTAAATAACTCACTTCTAAATTCGATCACTCGAAACTCTCATTTAAATCCAAATGTGATAATTTTAAAACTGTGTTCGTCTGAATATTTTAAACCAGTGGTATAATATCATAGTGAATGAACTCCATGCAAGTAACAGACAATAATAGTTTTTTTAATAAACAATTAACAAAAAGTGTTATCCTTTATTCATCGGTTGGATTTAAAAGTCACGGCACAAAAATGGAAACGTTGACCCGCTATAAGCGTAAATGTGTAGAGAAACCGCCGATTCGACCGAAGCCAGCGTATCTACGAAACTTGTTCGGACCGGGAACAACCGCCCGCCGCGTTAAAGAAGCGGCGTGGGCGCGGCGAGTGCGGGTCGCCTTGGCTACGGACCTCCTCTATGGTAGATGTAGGGCTGCAGATAATGCGATCACGGCGATTAATAAGCAGTTCCACACGGTATTATGGTATTATTTTATTACCAAAAAGTATGATTTAGGAATATTCCATATACATAATATTTATTAGGGGCTGTTTGTTCTCCTTCTGTGAGCGCGGAGCGGGACCGCGAGAGATTTAGACCTCTCGTGGTCCGCGAGGCGCGGGAACGGGCCAGGTACCGCAGACAACTAAGGCCCCGGAGGTCTCCATAAGTCTCCACAGGCCTGGGGGTGACAGGTGAGGCCAGGCCGGGTTGGTGGTGCGACGAGCTGTGGAGCGCGCGCGCCCTTTAGATTATAAAATGGGAACGTGGCTACTGGTACCCAAGACGAAGTGCGGCTTTTGGTCGATTCGAGTCTGACATAACCACCGGTGGGTGGTATCCGAGAGGGTTTACGCACAGAAAAAAATGTTTTGGTTTTAGCTATGACGAATTGTTACTCGTATTATAAAAAATAAAATTGACGTGAAAAGAGAGGGCTTAATATTAATGCATTTCATTGATTTTTTACCATTCATAGTGTTTTTATTATCTGGGTTAATAACTTTAGATCATCAAAACTAGATAAATTAAAGTCTACAACACCTACCTTACAACTTTAATCGGGCAATGTCACTCATGATGTACGAGTATACTAAATTTTGTATGTAGGTTTTGCTCTTCATATTCATCTCTATAGGCCTCCTTGACCGTGATCTTAAAGTATTATTTCGATACAAATTATAAATTCGATATAAAATGATTATATTCTTCCTAATACATCTTTGATTTTTGGAAAACAATATAATCTTTTCCAAAAATCAATTATTGTGTGAACTTTTAATGCTCTAATTATTTTTCCTTACTCCGTTGAATGACTACATCATAATTTTTGATTGAATTTTGCTAATTATTTTTGCAGAACAACAAGGCTCTCCAGGAGGCTTGTAGCATGCTCGAAGAGCAGCTGACTGATCTAGAGAAGTTGGCTGATCTTCATGAACTCAAAAATAAGGACCTCGAGGTAACATACTACTTAAGTGTGATTTTTTAAAGTGAATTAATGTTACTAATTGGGCGTAGTTTTCAATATGAGCGTCGTTCCAGGGTCAACTACAAACGGTCCGTGCGGAGCTAACGTCATGTCGCAGCCGGCTGAACGAAGCTGAGCATCAGGCCACCGAGCGCGGTGCCGCCGCCAGCCGCGCCGCCGCGCAGCACGACGAGGCGCGGGAACAAGCGCGACACGCTCACTGCGAACTGCAGTTGCTCCGGGTGAGGCTGGACTTCGTTTGACTGAAGTCCGGTAGTACAGTAGTGACGAACACTCTGAGAAGCTTATCTCATCGAGAAGACGTTTTATGCGTGGATACGTGTAAAAGATCATGATGATCGATCGAGTAGCTAAGCCGCGAAAGAATAACAAAAAAAAACAGACAAACTTACTGTTTTTCGAAGCACAAATCACTGTGGGATAATTCGTTCGAGACAAACAACATAATGAATAAAAGTTATCGGTATACAGGAGAGGCTAGAGGCCCGCGAGACCCGCGTGGCGGAGCTGGAGGCGCGGGCGGCGGCGCTGGAGAGCGCGCGGGCGGCGAGCGACGCGGCGCTGGCGAGCGCGGCGCGGCGCGTGCGCGACCTGCAGGAGGAGTGCGCCGCGCTGCGCACGCGCGCGCACCACCACCACGCGCAAGCGCTGCAGCTGCAGGCCAGCCTCGCCGACGCGCAGGTCACTCTATATGGAATCGTATATACTCTATTACATCCTTGATAAATCTGGTGACTCTGAGCCTTAACGGATATCGAAAAAGGGAAAAGGAACGAAATTCAATTATTGACGATCAACGAATTATTTTTATTAAATATAGTTTGGACGCGGCGGAGTACTCACCTAGTACCTAATCGAAGTAGGTATTTTTACGAATTTCAAGCCAATTTCATATCATAGTTTAAGAACTTAACTTAACTCAAACTAGATTTACATTTTCCGTGCCGTTAAATAATAAAAAGAGAATGAAATGATGTAATCGGTCGGAAAGATTTGCAGCAGAATGAAGCGTTGACGTGAGTGACCCCCGCAGGAGGAGCTTGCGGCGGCGCGCGAGGCGGCGGAGGCGGCGGCGTCGTGGTGGCGCACGCGCGAGACCAAGGCCGACGCCACGCTGCGCCAGCAGGCCAAGCTCATCGACTTCTTGCAGGTTCGTCCTTCTCGCACGCACCACACCCGGGTGCTTCTTGCTTGCTTATGAGCTTCTGTTTGATCTCGTTTTCGTCTTGTAGATGAATCAAATAGAAACAAAATGTTTTGATAGTTGTACTGCATGTTTAAGAATGATATTGTCATACTTAAGGATATTTATGATGACTGGAAATAGGTATAGACTGTTTTTATATTTTTAACAACCTCAGGAGGTCCTCAACTCATCGGAATCTTTTTTTATGCATGTTCATATTTACTAATCTTTTGTAACTTACATAAAGAGAAAATGCTTGTTCATCTAAAGTTGAAGCAGTATAACTGTAGACAACGCGCAAAGAACTAGAAAGAAGATTATTGTTATTATTGTTAATTGTTTCTAGAGTTGCCAGATCTAGTTACTCCGCAGCATCCGCCCATTCTGATATACATTAGGCCATTCCTAATTAGGCATTAACTGTATTTTACTTATTTTTTAACAGGCTAAAGTGGAAGAATCAGGTCGCAAAAAGTGCTCTCTAAGCAACAAGTTGTTCGGAAGATCCGGACGGAGACCCGCTGCTTCACCACCGTTGAGGAGAGCCAACAGGTACACATTTATTACATTTACCTTGTATTATTGGCCTTGGTCTATTCTATATATTGGCTATTGGTCAAAAGAAATTTATTTCTGAAAACATCTATCTTGTTGAACAGAGAACTTAAGGAAGAAGTAGAGAGATTACGCGCGAAATTAGCAGCGTGCAGTGGTGCAGGTGACGAGTAAGTAACACTGTATACTTGTAGTCCTTAAGTGTTTCCAATCTATTCGAGAATCTTAAAGTTGCCATATTTTGTAACACAGGAAACTATTGTTGGAAATATTCTGATTATTTTGGGATTTAGTAGGTAACAGCTAGAAAACTGTTTGGGATTATTTTAGAACCTTTATGACTTTTTGAAATCGATCGTCTATTACGATCATGTACAATTTGACATTAGTTTTTTAAATAATATTTAAACAAAATCAGAGTTGATTTTAACATTAATGTATTTTATTTATCAATGGATTTTGTTTTGATATATCTCTATGGTTCTAATATTATTGTCCGTATCTAATAAGGTTACCGAATTATCCAATTGAATTTTGTTAAATTCTTCTAATAACAGTGTCCTATAACTATATGTTTTCTAGTTATCCTCCAAGCACTCCAAGGCGGGAAAAGCAAAAGCCGGTATTAAACGGGTAAGATCATATTAAATTCAATTTGTGTTTATTTCGTTTGTGAGGAGCGGGGATAATATCAATAAACTTATATATTCCTATGCATGCGATACCGGTAGTGATTATCATCAGTTGTTGAGTTACAATGAAACAGTAAAGACATTTCCTGATCATAATCCTCAATAATTCACTGTTTCTAGGCCTAAGAGAAGCATCGATGTGCCTGATTCATCACAAGACAAAACTTTGCTCATTGTCTGGTACGTTTACAGTTATATTAATTTTAATTACCTACGTTCATAGGCGGCAATGGTCACTTTCCATCAGGTGACCCGTCTGCCCCCTCTAACATAAAAAAATCTGCAATGCTGAAACAAGCGTTCTGCGACACGGGAGTAAGTTTATAGGGAATGTTTCCAGGCCCGATGACAGCAGAGAGCGCATGCACGCCAAGTGCGTGAACGACGTGATGGTGCTCACGAGCGGGGACAGGGAGATGCGCGCGCGCCTCCTCTCCGCCGATGTCAACAACTTGCCGCACAATGAAGCTAATAGAGCATTCTCTGTAAGCTTACAAGTTATATATACGTGCTTTTTATGTTGGTTCTGGAAACAGATTCACTCTTTAGTACACACACTTCTGCGTCATGGGGACCTACTGCATTTGAAAGATTAGGTAATAGAATGACTTAGGAATATAATGTAACCACTTTCAGCGAAGGGAAAAGCTTCTACAGCTTTTTAATAATCTAAGGAGAGGAAATCGAAATAAAATATTCGGGCGCATCAAATCTTTTTGGGATATGTGATTTGGATGCCGAAAATGCTCGTATTGAAAGGTCTGACGATTTTAAAGCGACACAAGCTCGTAGCGAATGATCGAAAATGCAAACTGCAAATTCGAAATATCGCCATTTCGAAATACCCGAGCGTGTTAGATTTTATACAGACTGTTCAGTTTAATGTTCCTGTCATGCTAGCCAAATATTTGACTGTTGTGGGTTCGATGCCCACATGGTACAACACTTTGTGTGATCCACAAATTGTTGTTCTGAATTTGGGTGTTATTTGTGACCTTTTCATGTATGTTTGTAAAATCCTCCTCTACACGGGATATCTACCTAGTGTGGGAGTTGTCTTTACAAAAAATCGGATTAAATTGACTTTTTATATTGAAAAAAGTATAAATTGAGCAACCTATGAACCTAAAACTAGTAGAATTTATATTTTTTGACAATAAGTGAGAACTCGAGATACCTTTTTCTTTAAATTTCTTGACGAAAAATGACGTCTGGATTCCAAAAAATTTAATGACTGTTTAATAACGTTGACGTATGAAAGTGACTTTGTGATGGTGACAAAAGCATACAATATAAGACATAGAGTGAACGAGAACCTCAATCTTGCAGTATAGGCAATGAGAGAGATGGATAATAGATAGATGCCTCTATCTCTTTCTGTTCGAGGTCTGTGGTTGGCTGGGGAATATGAGGGGATAATAAGTAGCCAATCGCATCTTAGCTAAACAGAGACAGAGGAAATTATCGGGTATCCATCTTTCTCGTTGCCTGTTTCGCTTTCACTTACAGGCAGCTGTACCCCGTGTTCTCTCTATGCTTATATCTCTATGGACAAAAGTCACCTGTGCGCGCTGGTCCTTAATAGTATTAATAAAAATATATTTTTCTTGTGCGCGTGTGTGTTAATTTTTTTATTCTGCAAATAGGTTATAAGAACCCTTTGTTACAAGTCAAACTTTTTTTAGAGCAGATTAGTTCGACCTTTATTAACCGGATTAGACCTGCGAAGAAAGCACGAAACAAACTTAGGAATTATCGTCGTCGAATATCTTCTAAAGTTGTTTTTTAATTTTTATAAAAGTATTTATGTTAACACTGTATAAGGTCACTCTAATACAAATTTTCAACTTATTAAAGATGAACCTCGTCCTGTAAACGTAGTGTCCTGGGGATAGTAGATATATCTATTCTTTAAATAATGCGGCATTTAGTTGTCGTTATAGGAATAAGTTGACTATATTTTGAAGGTTCGTTGTTTTATGTTAGATCGATTTTAGTTTCGTTAGAACTCGTGTGAAATTGTATGTCGTGCACAGATCGCGGTGGACGCGTGTCCGAAGGGCGGCGAGGCGGTGGTGGTGTGCGGCAGCGTGGCGGAGCGCGCCGCGTGGGTGTCGCAGCTGTGCGCCGCGCACGTGGCGCCGCGCGGCTACGCGCCCGCGCCGCTCGGCCTGCAGCGCGCCGAGCCCGCCCTCGCGCTCTACGTCGCGCCCAACGCCGTGGCCATCGGTCGGTGCCGCCTTCGTTTTCCTTTTTTTGCAAACATTATAGAAATAATTAAAAAATTGATCGTCGCTCACCTATCTATATATATGGTGATGAAGTCGGTATACCTACTCGTACCTAAAATCGACTGCACGAACGGCATAGTAGTTTAGGCGGTCGCTACGTCGTTTCCTGCTCAGTGTCGTGGGTTCGATCCCCACGTGGGACAACGCTTTGTGTGATCTACAAATTGTCGTTTCGAGTCTAGGTGTTTTTGGGTCCGTTTCGTGTATGCGTATCGAGTCCCCCGCGGACGTATATCGTTAATGCGAGAGCTGTCTTTTTAAACGAAACTGCGACCGGAATCTAGTCGAAACGTTTTGAGAGATGTTCGACGAACGTGTCGCGCGCAGGCGGCGCGGACGGGCTGCACTCGCTGCGCGGCGCCGTGAGCATGGAGTGGCGGGGCGGGCCTGCGGGCGCAGCGGGCGGCGCCGTGACGTGCGGCGCGCTGGCGGGCGGGCGCGCGCTGCTGGTGGCGGGCGGCGCGCTGGCGCAGGCGGGGCTGCTGGCGCTGGGCTCGGCGCTGCGTCGCGCCGCGCACCTGCGCCCCGCGCTGCCGCTGGCGCACGTGCCGCTGCCCGACGCCGCGCCGCCGCACCTCGTCAAGGTGGGTCGATACCACGATACTCTTTCTTTGCTTTTTACCAAATTAGCGAGATTAACTAATTCCCAAACCGATTAACTCATAGCCGCCGGGCATTGCTATGATGAGAATAAAAACGTTTGTGGTAAATTACGAATGACGATTAAAATTTTTCCTCTTATCTAATCTTATTTGTAAAATCTTATCTGACTAGAAGGGACTATTACTAATATAATGTTACCTGAATGTTACCTATTATATTGAGGGTACTTATGATATTTTTTTTTACTTAGATTTGTAAAAAAATATTAATTTTTAGTGCTCTTTGTCAGTATTATATAGTTTAAAATCGGTTAACTTTTTCTTAAGTATTTATATTTCAGGTTCAACATGACCAATTACTGGGGTGACTTTTACGAAATGCTAAACATATTCAAATTTTATGAAATGCTCTTTTTCTAATTAGAATGACACTCATAATTTAAGAAATTCCTAAAAATCAGCCCAAGTACATTTTCCTTCATTTTCATATAAAAAGTACTTTATTAGTTTAAAACTGGATTCCAATTTGGCCGTGTCGTCTTTTTGTTCTGTTTATATGTATGTTTTTTTGTTGACAATGAATGACAGTCGGTTCACAAAATGATTACATTTTTTTAAAATATATTATTATAGCGATTAAAGATTGTTGAGTTGAGGCCGAATGCAGGACAAATTTCAGTATTACTTTACTAAAACTAAGCTCTACGTACCTGTGTATTTTTTAGTTTCCATTACATAAAGTTTAGCCATCTAGTGACGAATAGATAGAACTATTTTAATAAATTAAGTATAAAATCCGAATAATTTTAACACTACAAAATACGAAACTTCATACTTTTCTTCTTAATACTACGAAAATATACCGATTTGTGATTTTGCGTCACAAGTGCACAGTACGCACGCTGACAGTGTACTAACGTTAAGTCACGTCCACTGTGATGACGTCAGGACCTGATTAGAATCACAGTGCACAAGTGCACAAAGATGAGAGGGCCTGAGCCCTCGACTCCTAACTTTATTTTAAGTAAAGTGTGAAATTTAAAAGTCTGCTTTAAGCTTATATGTATAATTATGAAAATATTAGTCAAAAGTCAATCTTAAGTTCTTGTAAAACCGCATTTGTATAATTAATTATTAGTGTTAAAATATAAAATACCGATTGTTCTACGAGAACGAAAACGTTATAGAAAAATTCTACAAATTCTTGTTCATTTTTTTAACGATGTTCATAAAACTAGTTTGAAGCTATTTAACTCCTTTTTAACCTTTGATTAATTTATCTAAACCGTTTCAGGCATTAGTGGGTGATACAGCCGAAGAACCCTCCGTGTCTGTTGCCTGCGGTCGTCGAGTATTTTTGCTGCGATACGATGCCGCCACTTCGGAGTTCAAGATTTCACGATCACTAACAGTAGATCGTCCACCTAGCTCTCTACTTCTTACTAGTAAATACTTATTTATAGCTGGTGAAAAACCTTTAAAAGTGAGTCTCCCATCAGGCGCTTTGGAAGCGTTCGGAATGGACGAACCAAACGTGGCCGCGGCCGCAAAGAAACATTCACCGCCTAAAGCATTTTTGCTCATCCAAGTAAACCCTATAGAAATACTATTATGTTACGCAGAATGTGGAGTTTTTATCGATGAAAACGGAAAACGTACTCGTAACGAAGACCCTAAATGGAGTACAGCCGTGTACAGCTGGGAATTTGTCAAACCCTTTTTATATGTCATAGGGGATGACAAAGTGACAATAGTTTATCTGAACGAGGACGCTTATAGGGCTCCGCCTTGCACTTGTGACGCAACCTCTCTCGCATCCTCTAATTCTGATTGTTATCTGCCTGAAATATTTACCCTGAAAATTAAAGAGCCAATGCTACTTGGAGCGTCACCTAACGGCATCATAATACGTTCTAAAAGTGACGACGGATACAACGTCTCGATAGTAGATGGGATGGCGGCATTTAGAAGCATCGGGGCATCTGTCGAGTCTCTTGCTACAATATCGGACACGAAAGGGTCGTCGTCTGACCTGGCCCAATCTTTGAGTGATTTCTTGGGACCAGAAGATATATCACAAGAGAGTGTAGAAGTGACTACTGGTTTCCTAGCCGATATAAGAAAACGGGCTCGCCAGCTCCGGAATAAGCAACGTAAGGACCCAACGCCAGATGATGTTATAAAAGAAATATTGACGACGGAGGTCGAGATGAAACGCACACCAAACGGTAGGAAATCTCCTGCGACCATATCAGAGTTCGATTCTGACTCTGATTCAGCAGAAAGCGAAGATAAAGACAATATAAATCACGCCGCAGACCTTTGTGCCGAAATGTTTACCAGACAGGTACGCTTTCAGTGATACTGTCAGTGCCCATCAACTCGAGAGTAATGAGGCTGATTGCACAACCAATTGTAAAAGATATATATAATTAATATAGGAACTTGTGTGATAAAGGAGAACTTTGCCATGTACCTGAACGAAAGAGTTCTTCATTAGGTGTGAGTCAACGTGTAAGTCTAATGTTATATATTAGTTTTTTTTTAATTTTAGGCGGTAACAAGTTTGATAGGTTATATTATTTATACCAGGTTAGGATTTCACATGAACCATATTAGCATGTAATATGACGTACTAAGTGTATGTGTCACCTTATTTATTAACGAATTTAACTCAATTTCTAAGGTTAATTTACAGATTAAACAAATGAAGGATTAAATATAATAATATTTTCGTAGGAGTTTTAAAATTATTAAAATGTGTTTCATAATAATTCCTACCGAGTTGTCTACTTACTTTTACTGTGATTTTATAAATGACTTAATTTCTGTTTAGACTAGTTTTAGCTCATAAGCGATTTTTGTTTACGTTCTTAAACATGTTAAAATATATATTTTTTTAATATCTAATGTTTTTGTTTGCTGGTTGTGTCATTTGTAAGGACTGTGGAGAGGTTATCACTCTGTCCACATCAGAATATGACTTAATATAAAATTATTAAGTAGGTTGCAACTCTCCTTACAGTAAGACTTCTACAATTGTACTTTTCGTAATTGCTAGAAAGAAAACGTGGCTTTTCAATAAAGATGAATTGTTCCTCTGTCTAGTCGTATGAAGTTGTCTTAGTCGTTCCCTTGAGTGAATAATTTCTATTCTATTATAACATAAAACTACGTTATCTTTCGGAATTAGAAATGGACCTCAGTCGAAAAAGAAGTTAACACAAAAAACATTAAAGTGAGATGATATGAAAGGAGTCAAATGCTTCCGTTACAGGATTCTCACTTTATATTATAAATAATGTTGCCAGGTTGCCAGGTTGCCAGGGGTTATAGAAAAGGAGGTCCTATTAAAATTTTAATAAATTTGTGTTCATTTTATTAAGTCTATTACTTCCAAATTATCCCGTGTCTAAGAAACTTCTAACTTTATTTTCCCTAAAACGTTAATCTAAATATTACTATCACAATAGTAAGTATTAGTCTGTTTTTTTTTATCTCGGCGTCCCTTTTGTAACATTTTACCTTTATTAGAGGATTAACTTTAAAGTTTTCTACTCCAAAGTATATCATTAAAATTCACGTACGGACACATATTACACCAGGAAACTGGAATTTACTTTTAAATGGCGAAAAGGTAAATTCAAGATGGGCTGAATGCACATAAAAAGCCCATGTAAGGCATGTCATCGACGAGATGGCTGCTGAACAGGGTGTCACTATTTTGCGGCTGCCCCCACTGCGAGCTAAGCCCGTTTGAGTTGGTCTGGGCTGAAGTAAGGGCATTTCGCTAAAAAACATAAAAACTTCAAATTAAATGAAATACAACGAATAGAAACGTACGTATCTGAAATGACCTCGCAGCGGTAGCTCATGTAATTAAAATTGAATATGTAATGTGGCATCTGGGCCATATAGTCGACATTACCGATAGATTTAATGTCACTGAGACTGGCTTGGCCACACTAAAACACAACGTGTGTTACCCCAGCAAAATAATGTCGAAAATGGTCATTTAAACGTTATAGATAATTAGTTGCCCCCCTTCTGTAATTGTTAGACACATTTTTAAATTTGTTTCACTTATATTTTTTTAGTTATTTCAATAAAATATTTCCTGCTGGGGTAACGTTTGAAACGTTACCCCAGACATTTTATTTTTTAATTGCAATATTGAAATAAATGTTAGCTAAATAATTAGTTATCTGGACGAGGTAAATGTTACAACTTATTTGGTATTTGTATTTTGTATGTACTGGGTGATCGCTTTTTTGTAACCACCTAAACATGGTCGGGTTACCACGGTCTTGCACCTTCTAATGACTTTTATTTAATTATCTCGTAAATTATTATATGTACGACGCTGAAATGTTACAGCTAGACAACTTTGCATTGCTGAAGGAATATTTCCTCGTATATGGCGGTGCGGTAATATTCGTATAATACCAAAAAGTGGCGACAAGCCACCGGATAATCCTAAATCCTACCGACCAATCACATTGTTACCATCGTTAGGAAAGCTTTTAGAACGTCTTGTAGTGCTTCTGCCAGGTGGAGTCAAATTTCATGATAGACAATTTGGATTTACGGTGGGTAAATCGACAACTGACGCTGTTATATCGGTTAGAAAGTTTGTCACAGAGTCAAAATTTCAATACGTGCTGGCTATTTACTTAGATATATCTGGCGCCTTCGATAACGCATGGTGGCCCATGCTGTTGCTGAAATTAAAATCACGGGGGTGCTTTAAAAATATTTATTCCCTTATATCTTCGTACTTTTCACAAGGTACTACTAAACTAAGACTTGGTCATCATTCTGTGTCGAAGGCGCTTACAATGGGATGTCCTCAAGGATCGGTGCTAGGTCCATAATTGTGGAATATCGGCTTCGACGATTTTCTTGCGATACCAATACCATCCGGATGTACTCTGAACGCGTATGCTGATGACGGCTTATTACTGGTGGAATCTGATACTAGGGCGGGGCTTGAGAGATTAGCCAATAGATGTTTGAACTTGATATCTCAATGGGGTGAACGTAATCGCTTAAATTTTGCACCCAACAAAACCTTCCAGCTACTTTTAAAAGGTAACCTCAAATCACCGCCAAGCATTAGATTTGACAATGTTACTGTAAAAAATAAGGCCTCAGTGTGTTACCTAGGATTAGTTTTAGAAAGAAACTTTTCATTTATCGAACATATTAAAATAGTTAATGAAAAGTCTAAAAAGAGTTTCTGTGCATTGACAAGGATATCAACTGCGACATGGGGTCTATCATTTAATACATTAAAGATCATATACGGAGCTACTTATTTAGGTTCTATGTGCTATGGTGCACCTGTATGGGCCGATAGGGCGACCGTAGGCGCTGTCCGTTGCAAACTGTTACAAGGCCAACGACTTGCACTGATATTCTTGTGCAAGGCATATAGGACGGTTAGCACTGAGGCTTTGCCGGTGTTGGCGGGTTCGCTTCCAGTCGATCTCGAAGTGCAGAGACGTGCAGCCATGTACTATTCAAGACAACAAAACATGGAATGCGATTTTTTGGGCGCGCGGGATCGCGGTAAAATTACAAGATTGCTTCAACAGCAGTCCGATGTCTATAATGACCTCATAGACGAATGGCAACAACGCTGGGATGAATCATCCAAGGGGCGCCATCTTTACCAATTCTTTCCATCTGTTCGCGAACGGTTGTCGAGGACATGGCTTGAGGTGGATCACTGTGTCGCTCAATTTCTTACGGGTCAAGGTAACTTTAAGAGCAAGCTTTATTCATTTAAATTAGTCGAGTCACCATTCTGTCAATGCTCAACACCTAACTCTCACTATGAACAGTCTGCTCATCATATCCTCTGGGAATGTAGTCTTTGGTATAATGAACGTAATATAATGCTGAATACCTTACAGGTGACATCTGGGGCGGTATACTATGGAGATCTTGTGTCAACTAGGGTGAATTTCCGTGCATTTAGGCGATTCTGCCATACATATTATAGAAATAAAATATAGCTCACGTAGGACCCGTAATGTTTCGTGGCCGTGGTGCTTCCCTATTTAAAAGGGTGTATGCCCATTTTACTTCATTTTGTCTCCCGCTTTGCTAAGGAGGGAAGTGGATTTACTGTATTTCCAACTCCTCCAATTTTCTTCTGATTAATTTCGTTGCGGGTTCCAAGAAGTGTAATTTCATCCTGGGACTTCCCGAGTGTCATAACTCGGTGTGTTCGTGGGTCACTGCTGTGGATCCTGGTGTACAGGAGTTACAGTGGTGGGCGTGTGGACGGGATTAGTACCTGGCGAGTCTAAGAAACCCTTTCCAATTCAATTCTCCGGTTGCATCGGGTGAGATTAAAAAGATAATACTCTCTATTAGATCTAATGCTGTAGGCTGTGATCAAATCAGCCGACGCATGATTACAACGATCCTTGACCAAATTTTACCTGTAATCACCCATATAATTAACTTCTCACTAGACTCCGGTATTTTCCCATCACTTTTGCGCAAAGGCTATATCATCCCCTTACCTAAAACTGCAAATCCAACACTCCCTAACCACTTCAGACCCATATCGATTTTTCCCTTTCTCTCCAAGGTCCTAGAATCCTGTGTTCTCAAGCAGTTTCAGAATTTATCTACAAAAACAAACTGTTAAATCCGTTGCAGTCTGGTTTCAGGCCTGGTCATAGTACTACTTCCGCTCTTCTCAAAGTGACTGGCGATATTAGGGCGGGTATGGAGGACACTAAGGTTACTCTACTAGTACTGGTTGACTTCTCGAATGCTTTTAATACCGTCAGTCACGATATCCTTCTATCCATCCTTTCTTATCATAAGGTCTCGCCCGAGGAACTGGAATGGTTTTCATTTTATCTTCGGGGACGCCAGCAGTCTGTTCGTGTCGATGAATCTTCGTCAAGCTGGTGTGATCTTGTCTCTGGGCCCTCAAGGCGGTATTCTTTCTCCCTTGCTATTAGATTAGACGTCTTTATGCATCTTTATGCCGATGACCTGCTGCTCTATTCACCAAGTAAGGTTGAAGATATCTCAATAGCAGATGATAATAATAATAATAATAATTTATTGACAATAACAATAAGCTTACATTAATTTCAGAATTCTCTGGCTCCTACACTAGTAGATACTGTGTTGCAGGAGCCAGTGTCCTCCCCAATTTACATAGACAGTCAAAATTTTGGCATAATAAAATAAAAAAAGAAAGAAAGGAAAAACAAATTTAAAATAATAATTAATTCATGCGCTATGTGTGTATGTGTGTGTGTGTGTGTGTGTTGGAATATATATATGTGTGTTAGGGCATAAGTTGGTTGACTAAGGTAATAAGTTGGTTCA